TTTTTAAATATTTGTGAAGTAGGGGGATTTATCACTGCTGTCTATGATAATTTATTTGCTGCGGTGCACCCCGCAGGGCAAATTCACCCCCAACAAACGCGCGGAAATAGACAAAACGGCGAGAGACCCTAGCTGACCCCTGTTGCCAAACTATGGGGACTAGAAAACCACAAAATACTGAACTGTAGACTGAGCTTACCAAACCTCTCTATCAGAATTAGAGTCACCTCTCTCAGCACTTCTTGGTCAAGATGAACTTGTTCCAATCGCTCAACAGACGAACCGCCAGCAGGTCACGGGTCCTGACAGACACAAAAGTCTCATCGTACACTCAATCCTGCCGTAGTCCACTCGTCCTGGTTTTACTTAGGTTATCTTGTTTTTCCAGAAATTACTGTACTCTACGTTTATAAGTTTCAAGAAACGTCTTACAATTATGTAAGCTTAAGAAGGGTAAACTACATGTAACAGAACGTCAGATATTTATGGAGTATAGTTATATGTACTCAAGAAGGTTCTGGTCATTTACAATGCCCGCCTCTTGGGGTCAAGTCACACACAGACTCTCGTGCAGCAACAGTGGATGATGGTACAAGTGGATAATGCCCTATAAAACAACACCCAGCATCACGCCACTAAAATGACATCAATGCAATGGGATGCTGATAATTCTGTCACGGGATTTTTAAAAACTGTTTCAATTTACCTGATGTCTGTAGCGTGTACATGATAATTTTATTACGTTCTGCACTGTTGTTAGTATTTTGGATAGTGTTTATTTATGTATTTTCAATCTGTTGAATGTAATTTAAACCCAGTGGCCTAACTAACGTGGAATTATGATAGTATTTGAAAGTTTTTCTAACGTTGAACGCTAGCCCCAAAATCAACAGTGGAAGCATAACATCTACTCAACGTCATATATCAACGTTGATGCCACGTCGAAAAGCGTGCATTGAATGAACGCTGATATTAGTTGTATTTAAAAGTTTTTCTAACGTTGAACTCTAGCTGCGAAATCAACAGTGGAAGCATTACATTCGCTCAACGTCAAATATCGACTTTTTCTGACAACATCCAATCAACCTCTGTGCCATGTTGTCAAACGCACGTTCCAGCATCATAGAATATAAATTGAGAAGAGTAATGATTTTGAATCCCTATAGCGATAGATTAACGTTCATTCTGTGTTGGTAATGATAATAAACCAAGTACATAATTCGATATAATTCGACGGCGTTAACTTTTTTACGCGCGGAGGAAGAGAAGCTAGGGCTGTAGTGTATGTTAAGCTCGGTGGTTATATCCACCAGAAGGTATGTGCAAGTATATAATCTCACCCTAAAACACAATCTGTGCATGGAAAATAAAAATAAATGCACAGAAAGGATGAAAAGAATGCAGCATTACTTAAAAGCGATATATGCATATACGGGTATCTACATATGCATTCTTATCTGGTTCATAAGTGTGACGTCGCTTCAGTTTAAACCACGCCCACTGCACATGCAGAGCACATGGGGGGGTGCATGCATTGATCGCCGTTTGCATGGGCCGTTTTCGAATACTCAACTTCGTCTCCGACTCAGGCTTCGAGTAGGAAACCAATCCCTGATTGTGGGCCTGAAGCGTTTAACTTAAATTGAAGTACTGTAATGTTTGGCTCTTTTGCATCTTACTTGATGTTTTGTGGCGCTATCAGACTTACTATTGCGCTTTCAACCTCAAAGTCGGGAAGTAAAAAACAGATGAAGCCTCAGACAGAGCCCAAGCCGAGTATTGAGAAACGGCCATGGAACCATGGAACCGGAAGTTAACGCGCAACTTCAGCGATTGTCCAATGGGAGCCTGCAAATCGTGACGCGTCCGCCTTTGTGACGAAGTCACTTACGAACTGGATAGACTTCAATCACTTTTTAGCCTTCATGTGGATTTTCATCCAAGGATGCACACTTGTGGAATGCAGTAAATGGAGCCAACATTCCTCCAAAATGATTCTGGGACCTCCATAACGGGATAATACAGTTTAACCAAGTCCTTAGAATTCAGCATAATTTTTGATACGTCAATTTCGTGTATTGGTGGATGTACTTCTTGTACGTTCATGTCACACTTGTTGAACAGATTATTAATATAGTGGGAAAGGTTTGTACACCGTGTATTATGACCTCAACCTTCCTATAGATATCACAAATAGACGGCCATACAACTTTGTTGTAAACATTAATTTATAACTTAAAAATTTGTCAGGATGTCTGGTGTCCGTTGGAGTTCTTTGAGTAAAGTTTGAATTAAAGTAATTTCTATACGCCAATTTCAAAAGAAAAATCCTTAACTCATAAATGACAGTCTTTTTAAAACTTCAAACAAATTTTCAAAAGGACACACTGCAAAATCACCATTTAGTACAAGTACATGTGTCCATTATACACGCACAAAAAAGGATGTATACAAAAATTAGACGATCAGAAAAGTTTCAACAAACTACTCTCTTCGGAAAGTGTGTCGGCATCGACTTGTGGGCAAAGCTTTTGTGCATTTATTAGGGAATGTTCATGCCTGGGTGACCAGGGGCTACTTTCACAAATCATCCTATACACGAACCGCACCGTTTTGAATGCAAAAATGGAGGGTTTAGAAGGATCACAGAACGTGAAAAGTAAAACTGAAGTATACACCTTGTTGAAACTGCCAGTTTCTTCAGAATAATTTTCCTAACTATGACTGCAGTTCCTTCTAAATCAGATCTAAGCTGTCCTCGGCATATCGAAATATGATCACCGCTTTAAAAGCACAATGCCTCATGGAATAGCCTTGAACACACATGTGCATTAAACAAGCCTCAGGCTGTGAGATAGCCCCAAGATCTCTGGACTTAAACTTTTCTCTGACGTCACCCATAAAAGCCAATTGGAATAAGAACTGCTCATTCAAATTAATCGACCGACAGTCAAAAAAGAATAAGATAATTCTACTCATTACATTTCAGAGAACCCAAAACTTGACCCAAAATATCCAACTTTGTTAAGAAAGGCAGTCATATTGGCAAGAGTAAGTACACTTGAATGAACTTGCAAGAAATAGTAAATTTTGCCCAGAAATCATAGCAGGATGACCATATCCTGAAAATTGTAAGTCGACATGTTGAGAAATATAGGGTGACAACATTTGGAAAATAAAATGACAACCTCCTGAGATAATTTGTCACGGGGTGAAGAAATCTTGGAGTAGGCTGTCAATGTCCTAAGATAATATTTCACTTGTAGGATATCGTTCACCTGGTTATTGGATGTAGACAACTCACTTGCAACTCACGGCATGTCATCGCCTCAATGTTAAATTAATCAGGATACCGACATCGTACCTCTAAGATGTCTTCATCTTGGGATTAATTTGGGATGTCGTCATCTTAATTTCAGTGTTGTCATCCTGTGACAGATTTCAAAGGATATGCCCTCATCTGCCCTGTGATACGTCGTTATCCTAATAACAAGTCGGATGACACCTTCAGAGGAGCCTCGTACAATATGAATCTACAACTTCTGCCAACCTCCGGAGTTAATCTAACCACAACTCCATTTCACAAACACTTACCTCTGCCTGATGTCTTCAAAGTTCCGAGGATTTTTTTTTTGTTTTGTTTTGGTACGCTGCTTGTGTTTGTTTTCCTTCATACTACTGGTAGGCCGAAAGAAGCACCGAATCGCCTTTTAAAGCTCTCATTTTTTTTTTACTTTTCATCACTTGATATTGTGCAGGATACGAGAGGATCGGGTCTACGATACTGAAAATACACGTATATATTGTTTCCCATTCCCAATGTACCGTGACATGGGATTTGGTCCCATTCAAATAACAAATGGTCACAAAACCTCCGTCAAAGGGACCGACGTGTCTTTCCCTGAAAATCAGGACACGTGATAGGGCACTTTGAATGGAAAGCTTTCGAGGAGATTATTTTGAAATTCAACTTTGGTTTTGGAGCAAAATGGAAGATTAAACGATGAAGTGGTCAGCAAAAAGGAAGGGTTATGGCCCGGAGTCGGCACAAGGCATCGTCATTTTGTTTCGCATAGCGGGAAACTTCTTTCTTCATCGTAATGAAAGCTACGAAGCACCAAAGTCGGAAAA